AGACATGATCTGTCCAACAAGACATAGCTCTGTGGCAAGATCCTAAAGAAAAGTAAAACAAAAACAAAAAAGGAAGAAAGAAAGAAAAAAAGTAAGTAAGTGATCTGGTAGCTGCCTTTAGAGAACTATGTCCCTTCCTATCAGACATGGAAATGGAAAAACCCATTTGTGATGCTTAACCTCACAGCTCAGAAGTCACAAACTGACTGGAATGGACTGACTCTGTTGGAGACCATTCTGTTTGTTTGGGGATTTAGGGATTGAATAATGTTTTAATTTTTTTGAGGATATGAAAAATAGGGAATTTTTACATGTTGACCCCCCTGCCCCCGCTTCTAGCTCATCTTAAAACAAATTGCAATGGACCAACATCCTCTCCTGTTGGCATAAGAGTGGAGTCCCCGTAGGAACTAGTCCACTCTCCAGTTGATCGCGGTCCTCACCTGGCCTTCTTACTCATACTAGCCTCACCACCCAACTATCCTGTCTAGCTGCTACAAACGTGCATCCAGTCTATGCCACTTTTAGAACATAAGATCTTTTAGGGCAATAATGTTGTGTGTTGATCAATGAAATAAATCAATGCCACAAAATAGGTATAGACAGGCAGTTGCTACTAAATAAAATATGGAGCAATGTAGCACTGTCCTTCCGTTGTTCATCGATTTGCTCGAGTGGGCACCAGTAATGTCTCCATTGTGAGACTTGTTACTGTTTTTGGCATACTGAATATGCCAAAGGGAGTTTGCCAAGCTCTGGCATGCAGGCGGGATACTCTCGGTAGCTTGCTGGGCTCTCCGAGAGGGATGAAGGAATCAAACCCGGGTCGGTCTTGTGCAAGGGAAATGCCCTACCCGCTGTGCTATCACTCCAGCCAAATAAAATATGTGAACAAAATAAAAAAAAAATAGAAGGCAAGGACAGGAGTCACAAGGAAACACAGCCTGAAACAAAGAGATTAACAATGGTGTCCACGGCCAGATAAACAACCAGTTCATAGGACGTGAGCAAAACTCTGGCTGATGAGACAAAAAAGATTTGAGTTTGTATATTTACATTAAGAGGAAGGATATGAGTCAGTCAATAATTCAGAGCAAGGTCTGTGGACTCCAACCCGGGGGCCATACACCACAGGCAAGACCCAAGACAATTCTGAGGTTGGATGTAGATGAACATTCTGAATTTCATTGGTTATGGATTGATAATGTACATTAGAGGAAAAACACAGGGACATCATGAAATCATGGCATGAGGAATTTCGCTGAGTAGGAATAGACTATGTAGAGAGGTGAGTTGCTTTAAAATGGATAGAAATATACAATTTAAACAAAGAACAGTGAAAGATTTCCAGGGTCATATCTTAAACAATGAATTTACGTAAAGCCAAAGGATTCTACAAATGATTCAAATGTGGAAGCTACTGATATGGATACGGAGAGTCCCAAACCAAAAACCATCAGGATTATAGAGTATACTATTATTGTGTATTAGGTAATACACATCATCATAATGACCAATTTTCTCCACAAATTTCTTTCATAGTCTCATGAAACTGCGTCATGAGATTGCTTCAATACACTCTTCCATCTTTGGAGACAATGTTTTTAATCTCTGTAGATTAGACTGCAAAGAGAAGGGGGCTTGTGAAAAATTCATAGTGCACGCTCCTGCTCCTTTAACAGTGGTTCTTTGTGACTACTGAGAAGGGGCAAGCAACAGAAAAATCTTCTGGGCTTCTTGCTCAAGCTTCCTCACAGCAGCAACTTCCCCGCATCCTCCTCCTATCCCACCTCCTAGGGTGCTATCAAAAGGCAGACCCACTACCCCTAGGCTCAGAGAAAAAAGGGGGCCTCCAAATCGACAAAAAGCATGCTTCTATGCACACCACTCTAATACTTCCCAATAAAAATACTTTTGCTCTGTACTCCACATATACCCGAGCCTTCAGACGAAATCCAGTTTCCAAAAGGCATTTTCTAACCTTTTGAAGGAAAATACTGCCACCCTGACCCCTGCCTTCCACCCTGCCATCTGCGGAAAGGGAAAGAGAAGTTCAGGCAAGGCTGCCTCCTCCATTCTTTAACTTTCATCATCTGCCTCATCACATCAAAATCTATTTCGGGCAAAGATCTGATTGTCTTCTAAGCTCCATTTTCATTCTTATGTGCTTAAGAGAATGCACTTCAAGACCTGTTTAACAAAGAATCTGTTTCTGCTTCAACCTTAGCCCAAACTAAGCATTATTCTGAGCTCAGAGTAATTTACCAGGTCCGTCTGGCGTGTCCTGATTTGTGCTGTGCATGGCTTTGTACACAACATGAGGTGATCATGGCTCGCCCGGAAACCTGAGAGGCCAATAACTCCACAGTCCTGTGTCTTTCTTGGAGCAGTCGTGGCTTAAGTCAGGTTTGTTCCAAGCCTTCCACGTGTATGTGGAAAGGCCGACAACAGAGAGAACAACTCCAGCCAAACATTTCAGAGGAACACAGGCTCCTGTCTGCTGGAAAAAACACTGATCCCAGTATAGGGGTGGAGGTGGGGGGCAAACCTCTAGAATCATGGCTATCCTTTGATGTAGAAATTCTTCCAGGAAATCTGTGATAAGGAAATGATCACGACTATAAAAAACATTTTGCTATATGGGTGATAATTTACTTAAAAGAGAAAAATATCCAAATCAACCCCAAAAAGTGGCAAAACAGCAAGGCACAGCCATATTATGGGGCAGCGGTAGGGCATTTGCCTTGTGCGCAGCCAGCCCAGCAGAGCCGGGTTCGATCCTCTGCTCCTCTCGGAGAGCCTGGCAAGCTACCAAGAATATCTCGCCCACATGGCAAGGCCTGGCTATGGTAGCTACCTGTGACATATTCAATATGCCAAACACAGTAACAGATCACAAATCACAAATCATCCTGTTATTCGTCGATTGCCTCGAGCAGGCCCCAGTAACGTCTCCTTCATCCTAGCCCTGAGATTATATTGAAGGCTCTTTAGGAGAATGAGACCCATCATTGTTACTGGTATTTGGCATATTGGGTACGCCACGGGGAGTTTGCCAGACTCTGCTGTGTGGGCAGGCTACATTCGGTAGCCTGCCAGTTTGTCCAAAGTAGGAATGAGATAATAAGATGTCATAATAAGATGATTACACCAGCTCCCGGAAGAGAATAGTGCAGTCTCCTGCCCCCGCGCCTGGCTGTCCTCGCCGGGGGCCCCTTGGAGGGGAGCGGGTTGAGCTTTCCTCCCCGCCCCGACCAGGGTCCCAGCAGCTGAAGACCTCCAGGACCAGCCACCACCATGCTGAGACCCTCTCCGCACACATGAAGGTACTGGCAGAGGGACAAAGCCACACGGGTTCCAGGGCCGAGATCTCCAAGCCTACTCGGATCGGGGCCAAGCATCCTCCACCCAGAGCCTCCAAATTCCAGTAGGCGGGGGTCACACCCACCAACTGGCCCCCTGGTGCCATGTAATCCCATCAACAGTAACAGAAAGCCTCAAAAAAATGGAGACCCGCTCGAGCAAATCGATGAACAACAGGAGAACAGTGTTTGTCAATGTGAAGTACTTGAAATACAGTTATGTTATCAGGTGGGGAAGGTTGGTTTTGGGGAGTTATGCTAAGGAAACGCCTTACATCTGAAATACCAGAGACTAAAAAGCATTTTCCATAACAAGGATGAGAAAGGTGGCAACTCAGATACGGGGGCCTCTCATCTTCAGGGGGAAGTAGATCTGGAGTCTGATTTCACTTTGTGCCTTTTTATACTTATTTGGGGTTGGGTGGGGGTAAAAGGAATGGGGGAAGAGAAGAGCAGCAGTACTAAAAGCCCTCTAAATTTACTGAACACTCACTGTGTGCTAGGAACTGTATGGGATGCCTTTGTCTGCACAACACCACTTGTTGAAACCATTATTATCCCCATTTTTAGGAAGTGAAGACTGAGGCTCTGACATATCACTAACTTGTCCATGCCTTACGCAGCTGATGAACAGCAGAAACAGAATCCTTACCCAGGCACCAGTACATGTTTTCAACTGTGCCTCTGAGGGGACGCATCTTTGTCTCTTGGAAAGCAGTTACTGCACTGACCCACATCATTTGCCCTTGACTTCACTGACTCTATTTTGGGCTCTTTAAAGACAAGGACCCATTTTTATATGCCCTGTCCCTAGCAGGCAGCAGGTAAATCTTGGTTATACAAAGGAACTAGTTCGGGTATCTGCATACAAATTAACTGGTAACTAATAGTAATAGCAGATCTCAAGGCCTTCCAGTCCCTGGCCCAGCTGAGCCAGATGCTTAAATTTCATTTAGTTCTTCCCTGTGTATGCCATAGACATTCTTAGCCCTACTGGACAGACAGGGAAACTGAGGCTGGAGAAGGGAAAGCTTTGCCCATTTGTTGGGAAAATCTTCCCAATGACCCAACTTCAGGCACACTACAGAGTTTGGTTCTTAATATCAACACAGAAACATGACTGAACATTTTAGAACCCACTAACCCAGTCACTGCAAAGAACTTAGAAATCCTAAAAGGGAAAACTGATTCAATATAATTGTGGTGTGATTTGTAGCAAGGAAAACTACCACTTCCCTGACTGATGCATTAATTAAGTTCACACATTTAGTGCCCACTGTGCAAGAGGCCCCATGAGAGGGGGTGGCAGAGGAGGGGTGGCACAAGGCCCAGCACTCGGTCACAGTGCAGTGGCACACAGGACTCACTCTAATGAGCATTTAATGACAAGCTGAGCAAAGGTGCAGAAACTGGTTGGATGAGGCTGCAGTGAGAGCAAGGAGAAGTACTCCTGAACTGAGCTCTGAGTGTGCAGCATGAGGAAAGGGGCTGATTCAGTTACGGCACTCAAGGGGTTCTATGAGATAGTCCTCGGTGGTCCCAAAGGCATGGACAGAGACCACAGAGGTGTCAGGAAGTGACATGAAGGTGGCAGGGCTGCCCCCAGGGCCCTGGGCTGGCCTAAGCAATGAGACTCACGTTTCTCTGTGGACTGCACAGTGTGAAAGAGTGTCAGGGGCCTCTCACTGCAGGATGGGGGCTTGGAATCGCTGCTCTTCTTCCGAGACAGGTGCAGCTGGGTGCTGGAGAGCGGCATCTCAGGCACGGTGTTAAAGATCTGCAAGTTAAGTTTTGCAAAAGGTTATGAACGATCAGGAATCACGGGGAAAAATGCAGAGAACTAGCACCACCGGAAGCTTGATGGTATCTAAGAAACAGTAAGTCCTTAAAAGATCACCAGCACTTATTTGCTCAGGACTTAAGGAAGTGGCCAAAGTACTGTCTCTTGGAAGTGTCTTCCAGTGTTTGGCAGCCATTAATTCCCATGGGGAACCCCTTCTGCCATTGCTTCTGGGAATCTATTTTCTGTGGTTCTCTTCAGGGAAAACAGAAAGCAGCAGTGTTAACTAAGAGTCAATGCCTGTTAATAAAGTATTTGTGTGTGTGTGTGTGTGTGTGTGTGTGTGTGTGTGTATGAAATCATTGTTATCTACAACCACTTTAAAACCCCTTTTCCTCATTGGTGTCACTTCCCAGTTCCTAACAACTGCTTCACAATATTCTTAGAATGGGAAACATGTATTTAACATGTATTTAGACATGTATTTAAATAACATTCCACAAAAGAACCTCAGAGCAGGGTACTACTAGCCAGTCTGCAATGATCCTCAGATGCTTTTAAAATTCAACAGCCAGGGAGATAGCTCAAAGGGCTGGAGCATATGCTTTGCATGTTGGAAGCCTGTGTTCAATCCTGGAACCAATTGGTTTCCCAAGCACCCCCAGGGAAGCACACCCAGAGCACCAAACCAGGCAGGAACTGGATGGACTAGTCTTTGAGGACCTTTAGGGGTGGTTCAAGAAACAAAACGAGAGGACTGAGAGATAGTATGTGCAGGGGTTAAAGTGCTTGCCTTGCACACTACTGATCCCGGTTCAATCCCTGTCACTGCATATGGCCCCTCAAGCACTGCCAGGGTTGATCCTTAAGTACAGAGCCAAGAGTAAGCCTAAGTACCACTGGGTATGGTTCAAAATCCAAGTAAACAAAGCTAAATAAATTTGGAAGCTCTGTGATATCACTAAAGCTGAGATATTCTTTTTAATTAAAATGGGGGGGGGGCTGTTTGTCCTTTCCTTGATGACCAAAGTAACATATATACTAAAAACTTGGAAAATATTTTTTAAAGCATCAAGGGAAAAAAAAAACAACAAAAGGGGCTAGGGCAGTATCTCATTCTCCCAATTCCACTATTTGGAGATATTCAAGGTAGCATTTGACATTTTATTTAATGCAATTTTTTTTACATATTTCCCCCTTTTATGCTTTTATTATAAGAAAATTCCATGGTAAAAAAATGAGAAGACATCAATAGAAAGATAATAATAATAATAATCCTTATCTTGTTTTCCTAGATTGCCAAATACAGCAGAATTAATAAAGATCACTTCCCATGAATACAGTAGCTGCCTTCCACATGGATTCCCTAGAACCCATTCATCAGCACATGTGTCCAACAAGAACAGTCACTTCTCTGTGACCAGAGCAATGGGAACTGCCCTCAGATAAAAAAACTGCAGCAAAGAGGGCAAGCTGCCACAATTAAAACATAATTACATAGGGCAGCAGCATCTTTCCCCCGCCCCCAGATTTCTTTTGAAATATATATAATAAAAACAGCATGAATTCAATCTAAAATATCTTCTGAGCATCAAATTGGGTTGCTTTTTGGGAGATGGGAGGTGGGGGCTGGGGCAGTTTGGGCCCAAACCTGATGGCGCTTAGGGGTTACTCCTGGCTCTACACTCAGGGATCACTCCTGGCGGTGCTTGGGGAACCATATCGGGTGCCTGGAATCAAACCCGGGTCATCTGTGTGCTGGGTCAACACCCTACCTGTTGTACTATCACTCTGGTCTCTGAGCATCAACTTTATACCAGACACACCAAGTATAATAGCCTCGGAGACAAATGTCATCTCTGCATTTATAGAGGTTGCATTCAGAAGCTATGATTAAATATTTGCCATACCAGGTTCAGCTCAGTATATGCTTTATATCATTTTTTTAATCTAACGTCAAAACATATTTATTCTACTATTGGGACTATAATTCTTTATACAGTTTTGTATGCTCTATGATTCATCGAACATGATGCTATTATTTTTAAAATATGCTGACATTAAAAGATTATGATGAAATGAATAAAAAATCTTAAAATGTGATTTTAAACATCTACAGAGTTGTATAGCACTCTTAAGTATGATCCACCCCGTCATCGCTTACTCTTTGGAGCACATCTCCTTTTAGCTTCATGAGTTATAAGGGGTGAGGGGAAGTACCTCATTCCCTTCACCTGCAGGTAACCCCAAACAGTCTTTCTTGTGGTCCTCTCTATTTTGCACATGCACTTAACAGCAGATCTGAGAAGCTGACATATAGAAAGCAAAGTCACAGAATTATAAAAATTCCAGTCAAAACAGCTGCTCTCCATGGACTGGCAGGTCCACAGGCTCTAAAGATGCCAGGCAGCTGGTTAAGTCAGTCTCGCTCCCAAACACAGCTGTCTGAAAACAGCATTATCATATTTTCCCTGGGCTACTGAAATTTTCAGCAAAATAAACTGAATCACCACAAAAATGAGTTCAACTGAGGCAAGGGGGTAAAAAGAAAATAAGACTTCAAGTAAAACCAATTATATACATATGTGCATATATATATACACACATATGTGTGTATACATATGTATATATACTTACTAAATAAAGGAACAAAGTAAGAAGCACCCATCTAAAACTATTACTTGTATTTGATATGCCAAGAACAGTAACAATAATGGGTCTCATTCCTCTGACTCTGAAAGAGCCTCCAATACAGCAGCGTTGGGAAAGATGAGTAAGGAAAGGCTGCTAAAATCTCAGGGCTGGGACAAATGGAGACGTTACTGGTGCCTGCTCAAGCAAGTCGATGACAATGGGATGATGGTGATACAGTGATGTGTGTGTGTGTGTGTGTGTGTGTGTGTGTGTGTGTGTGTGTGTGTATTTATTAAGCTTCTGGTTTCTGGAGAGTTTTGTGGTAGGGAAACTGGAGGCACTGGTGGTGGGAAATGTACACTGGTAAAGAGATTGGTGGTAGAACAGTATATAACTGAAACCCAATCATGAACAGCTTTGTAACTCTATTATCAGTGTGATTCATTTAAAAAAATACCACTGCTACACATTCTCCAGGCTTCTTCTGAGTATTTACAAGGAGAAAAAAAAATGAGAGAGAGAATGCAGGGTTGGTACTAAGCTGAAAGGCCATAGGCCTCTAAGAATCTTTTTCAGACCTTGACTCTGGTGCTCAAACCAGGCAGAATCATGACCATTTCCTAGGAGAGAACCTAGGGCAGCACATGGTCACTCTCCTTCAACCAGGCACAGTGCGAGGCATGTTAATAAGCTCAAAGACAAGCTAATTCGGCAGAAGTAAGATGACAACTTCACGTCCACAGATTTGCTAAGGGGATAAGCAATGCAACCCTGCAGCCATAAATTTGCACTATGACCTGCCCTCAGCAGTTATTCCTCATTCATCTCATCTTCCCCGGCCAAGTCTCACTACAGGAGTCACTGCCCTGCCCTCACACCCACATGTACAGTTTCAACAAAAGTCATCTCTCAGAAGCCTTGAGCCTCTGACTTCACATTTCGCCCAATCAGCAACACCTAGCTAAACACATTTCAAATGAATGCACTCCCCTCCCCCACCTCCTTAAGTTTGACTTCCAAATTGTCATTTTTTCCTTGTGAGAATGAGTTTCTTGCCCAGTTATAATGGGAACTAAGATAACTGCATATAGATTTTAATCCCAACTGCGACTAAAAAAAATAAATAAAAAAACTCAAAAAATGTGAGCACTTATTCTTTCCTTAAAACTGTAGCAAATGCTAGCAAAACAAAGAACAAGTTGTGTGGAAGGACTGTGGATTTAGACAGATGCATGAAAAATTGCTTCCAAAACAATGTTTATTCACAGCCAAGGAGGAAAAGACATTGAAAACATGAGATAATTTAATTCTGATCACTGTCTGTTTACTCTAAAAGACAAAAAAAAAACCCACAAAAATAAAAACACAACACCCCAAAAACAAACATGATTGAAGATTATTAGAACTGATTTTCAGTGGAGAAGTTCAGCATAGGAAAGAGCTAGCATCTTTTAGTTTTGGTTTGTGGGTCACCTTGGTGATGCTTAGGGTTTACGCCTGGCCCTGCACTTAGAATTACTCCTGGCAGTGCGTTGGGGACCAAATAGGATGCCAGGGATGGAACCTGGGGAGGCTGTGTATAAGGCAAGCATCTTACCCACTGTATTAAATCTCCAGCCCCAGAGAGCTACCATCTTATTTTTAATTTTTATTAGTGAAACACCATGAGGTAGACTTACAAATTTTTGTGCTTGGGTTTCAATTATACAATAATCAAATACCCATCCCTCCACCAGTGCCCAGGCCAGTTTTCTGGATATTGCTCTGAGCAGGATCTAGGCTTCTGGAGAGCTCTGCCATGGCTGCACAAGGTCGAGAAGCAAGCACAATTATTACAAGCATTTTTCTTAGGTGCACCTCTGTAAATCAGACCCAGTAAGAGCCAACAGTCCATACTTATGTTTTGGAACCGGGTGTTGGAAGGATCCTCCCAGGATGGGAGAAGCATGCTGAAAGTAGACTATAGACCAAACATGATTGCTACTCAATGCCTCTTTTGCAAACCACAACACCCAAAAGGAGAGAGAGAACAGAGGGAATGCCCTGACACAGTGGCAGGGTGGGATGGAGGGGTGGGGAGTGGGAGGGATACTGGAATCCGTGGTGGTGGGAAATGGGCACTGGTGGAGGGATGGGTATTTGATCATTGTATAATTGAAACCCAAGCACAAAATTTGTAAGTCTACAACTGTACCTCATGGTGTCTCACTAGTAAAAAAATAAATTAAAAAAAATTCATTCTCAAAAAAAAAAAAATCATTCTCCAAATTAACTCTGAAACTTCAACCACACAAGTTGCTTAAAGGCAGCCTATTATTTGGTCACTTTCTAGCTAGTCAAGAGCTTTATTCTGTGCTGGAAGT